AGAGAGAGAGAGAGAGAGAGAGAGAGAGAAAGAAAGTCCTTCATATGTAAAAACAAACCAAAATATAAAGAAAACATAAAACCTAGTGTTACCTGTTGTCCTCCATAGCAGGTACATGTGCAAATTGCTCCAAGATATTCCTTCTGCCACTGGTCGCCCACCTGGTACAGCTTCCCATCATCATAACAGGTGGATTCAACTACAGCAGACAATGAACATCAAACAACCAACCAACCATTAAATGTTAAAAACTGCATAGACTCAACTGTTGAAAAACTCTGCTTACGGGGTTCACACTTAAACTCTCCTTTCCCGTTGCCCAGACAGGTGCAGCTCATCATGTGACTGTTCTCAGCATGACGGTCCCACTTCTCACCAATTCGGTAGTTGTGGCCATTATCATGGCACCACTCTGTAGATTTAAAGACGCTTGTTGGTTAGTACATAAACCTTCAAATGTGTCTAGAGAAAGACATCTTAGAGTTTCCAGTGAATTCATCCTTCACACACATTCATACAGTGGTTATTGCACAAAATAAGCTTATCTCAGAGTTTAATATCGTCTGGTTAAAGGCTGACAATACAAATCTGAGACACGAGCCACCTCATCTCTGGCTGCCATGTTTGATAACCTCGACAAACATGTCAGGAAAAGCTAGCATGGGCAAGTGTACTCAAGTGTAGAAATAAAATATGAAACATGACCTGTCTTTAACTGCCAAACGGTCACCCATGCTACAATGAGGTGTGGTGTTTAGCATGTAGCAGCACTGCTCATTCACTCACTGGATGAATCACATCTGAAATGACCACTGCCAAGGCCAAGGCACTTGCACCAGAGTTTAAAGCCCGTCTCGGACATGCGCTCCCATTCTGCGCCCACCTCATGGTAGGTGGCGGTGAATGTGTCATAGCACACATCCCTGCCTGTGGGAACCACTCCAGTCTCTGGAACTACAGAATATGAGGAGTCAGGAACAAGCATGTTAAGCTCTTGAAATATGGTTACAAATTTGTTTGGGTTAGGGATGATTTACCACTGTTTCCGACAGTCACAACATCATCCAGGATTTTCTGTTTTTGGTCTCCGTTGACAGACTCCACAAGAACATGATAGGAGGCACCAGAGGTGAGACCGATCAGTGTAGCACTAGTGGACGTACCAGGCAGACGCATCTGAAGGAGAGAGAGAGAGAGAGAGAGAGAGAGAGAGAGAGTGTATTAACTAATAAATCACTGATAATATCATACTACAAAAAAAAAAAAAAACATCAATAGCTAGAAGCTACATCATATAGAACCAAACAGGCAAATTTGCACTTTACTTTAGTTTTTATGCTAAAAGTGTAAGCTTTTTTCCCCTGTGTATTTGTTTCATTATATAATCATTGCATTTAATTTTACACCCTGAAATGTCCATCTGCACCCGGATCAAACCAACTCTTTAATTCCCATTCAGAAATTTACTTTCTACCACAATAACGTACAGTAAAATATTAAATTATCTTGATTTAGAGGCTTGCATCAGGATCAGTACGGTTTTTTTATATACATTTTTATTCAGCAAGGATGCATTAAGCTGATCAAAAGTGACAGTAAACATTTATAATGTTACAAAAGAGTTCTATTTCAAATAAAAGCTGTTCTTTTCAATTTCCTATTTATCAAAGGAACATGAAACAAAAAGCATTATGGGTTCCAAAGAACATTTCTTGAGTACCAGATCAGCATATTAAATTAAATTTTAAAATAAAAAAAGAAAACAGGTATTTTAAATAGTAGTAGTACATCACAATATTACGGTTTTAACTGTATTTTGATCAAATAAATGCAGTATGAAATAGTTTTCAAAAACATTAAAAACTTTTACCATCCCTTAACATTTAAACTGTAGTGTGTAGATAAAATACTTGGTTACACTTTACTTGAAGGGGTGTGCATAAGACTGACATGACACCTTCATAATCATGACATGACACATGTCATGAATATGAAGGGTTTTTATGCATGTTTATGACAACTGTCATTAAGTGTCATTCGCTCAGTTATGTAATTTTTAATGCAAAGATGACATTGTTTGAGATGTCTTTGTTATGGGCTATGGTTAGGGGTAAGGGTAGGGGTAGGGTTAGGTCAAATAATGTCATATTTGCATTAAAAATGACATAACTGAGCGAATGACACTTAATGACAGTTGTCATAAACATGCATAAAACCTCCTTCATATTCATGACATGTGTCATGTCATGATTATGAAGGTGTCATGTCAGTCTTATGCACACCCCTTCAAGTAAAGTGTTACCAATCATTACAGTATCCACTGTAATTATAAATATGATAATATGCAATTTATACAGTTCAATACATATGCTGCCAATCAAAGGCTTTAGGTCGGTAAGATTTATTTTTTAAATAAATTAATACCTTTATTCAGCAAGGATGCATTAAATTGATCAAATGTGACAAACCTTTTGTAACATTATGAATGTTTTTACGGTTTCGAATAAGTGCTATCTATCTTTGGAACTTTTTATTTTAAGAATACAGAAATGTTTCTTAGGCAGCAACACAGCATATTAGAATGATTTCTGAAGGATCATGTGACACTGAAGACTGGAGAAATGATGCTGAAAATTCATCTTTGCATCACAGGAATTTTTTTTAAATACATTCAAACATTTTAAATTGAAACAACATTTTACAATATTACAGTTTTATTGTTTTTTCTATAGAAAGGGCAGCCTTGATGAGCATAAGACACATTTTAAAAACATTAAAAATCTTACCGACTCTTTTGAATGTGTATAGTACATGATACTACACAATATCCGCTATAATCATATTAAAATCTGACCTTCATCAGAGATTTATCTGATTCTTCTATTTTTCCAAGCCTTTGTCTGTCACATCTATAAAAGACTCACCAGTTTGCGTAGGGCGTTCTCTCTGTAGCGGTCGTAAGCATCAGTGCGCACTAGAGGCTGAATGAGGTCCACGTCAACGTCAGCACCAGGACCAGGACGACGACAGTTCTCACAGCGCCATCCCTGGAGAGAGCGCATGGTTTTGAACATTCTATATATATATATATATATATATATATATATATATAGAGAGAGAGAGAGAGAGAGAGAGAGAGAGAGAAAGTCCTTCATATGTAAAAACAAACCAAAATATAAAGAAAACATAAAACCTAGTGTTACCTGTTGTCCTCCATAGCAGGTACATGTGCAAATTGCTCCAAGATATTCCTTCTGCCACTGGTTGCCCACCTGGTACAGCTTCCCATCATCATAACAGGTGGATTCAACTACAGCAGACAATGAACATCAAACAACCAACCAACCATTAAATGTTAAAAACTGCATAGACTCAACTGTTGAAAAACTCTGCTTACGGGGTTCACACTTAAACTCTCCTTTCCCGTTGCCCAGACAGGTGCAGCTCATCATGTGACTGTTCTCAGCATGACGGTCCCACTTCTCACCAATTCGGTAGTTGTGGCCATTATCATGGCACCACTCTGTAGATTTAAAGACGCTTGTTGGTTAGTACATAAACCTTCAAATGTGTCTAGAGAAAGACATCTTAGAGTTTCCAGTGAATTCATCCTTCACACACATTCATACAGTGGTTATTGCACAAAATAAGCTTATCTCAGAGTTTAATATCGTCTGGTTAAAGGCTGACAATACAAATCTGAGACACGAGCCACCTCATCTCTGGCTGCCATGTTTGATAACCTCGACAAACATGTCAGGAAAAGCTAGCATGGGCAAGTGTACTCAAGTGTAGAAATAAAATATGAAACATGACCTGTCTTTAACTGCCAAACGGTCACCCATGCTACAATGAGGTGTGGTGTTTAGCATGTAGCAGCACTGCTCATTCACTCACTGGATGAATCACATCTGAAATGACCACTGCCGAGGCCAAGGCACTTGCACCAGAGTTTAAAGCCCGTCTCGGACATGCGCTCCCATTCTGCGCCCACCTCATGGTAGGTGGCGGTGAATGTGTCATAGCACACATCCCTGCCTGTGGGAACCACTCCAGTCTCTGGAACTACAGAATATGAGGAGTCAGGAACAAGCATGTTAAGCTCTTGAAATATGGTTACAAATTTGTTTGGGTTAGGGATGATTTACCACTGTTTCCGACAGTCACAACATCATCCAGGATTTTCTGTTTTTGGTCTCCGTTGACAGACTCCACAAGAACATGATAGGAGGCACCAGAGGTGAGACCGATCAGTGTAGCACTAGTGGACGTACCAGGCAGACGCATCTGAAGGAGAGAGAGAGAGAGAGAGAGAGAGAGAGAGAGAGAGTGTATTAACTAATAAATCACTGATAATATCATACTACAAAAAAAAAAAAAAACATCAATAGCTAGAAGCTACATCATATAGAACCAAACAGGCAAATTTGCACTTTACTTTAGTTTTTATGCTAAAAGTGTAAGCTTTTTTCCCCTGTGTATTTGTTTCATTATATAATCATTGCATTTAATTTTACACCCTGAAATGTCCATCTGCACCCGGATCAAACCAACTCTTTAATTCCCATTCAGAAATTTACTTTCTACCACAATAACGTACAGTAAAATATTAAATTCTCTTGATTTAGAGGCTTGCATCAGGATCAGTACGGTTTTTTTATATACATTTTTATTCAGCAAGGATGCATTAAGCTGATCAAAAGTGACAGTAAACATTTATAATGTTACAAAAGAGTTCTATTTCAAATAAAAGCTGTTCTTTTCAATTTCCTATTTATCAAAGGAACATGAAACAAAAAGCATTATGGGTTCCAAAGAACATTTCTTGAGTACCAGATCAGCATATTAAATTAAATTTTAAAATAAAAAAAGAAAACAGGTATTTTAAATAGTAGTAGTACATCACAATATTACGGTTTTAACTGTATTTTGATCAAATAAATGCAGTATGAAATAGTTTTCAAAAACATTAAAAACTTTTACCATCCCTTAACATTTAAACTGTAGTGTGTAGATAAAATACTTGGTTACACTTTACTTGAAGGGGTGTGCATAAGACTGACATGACACCTTCATAATCATGACATGACACATGTCATGAATATGAAGGGTTTTTATGCATGTTTATGACAACTGTCATTAAGTGTCATTCGCTCAGTTATGTAATTTTTAATGCAAAGATGACATTGTTTGAGATGTCTTTGTTATGGGCTATGGTTAGGGGTAAGGGTAGGGGTAGGGTTAGGTCAAATAATGTCATATTTGCATTAAAAATGACATAACTGAGCTAATGACACTTGTCATAAACATGCATAAAACCTCCTTCATATTCATGACATGTGTCATGTCATGATTATGAAGGTGTCATGTCAGTCTTATGCACACCCCTTCAAGTAAAGTGTTACCAAATACTTTATTTTAATAATTTATTTCATAATAAATTATTTATATAAGTTAATGCATTTAATCAAGTACCCTGAAATGCCCATATACACATGGCCTAGATCAACTTTTTAATGTTCATTCAATAATGTACAGTAATGTTTTACATTTTCTTGATTCAGGTGCATTACCAGTAACTATTGATATATGCAATTAATTGAATAATTAGATTTTTCTTTTTAATGTTTTAACTGATTGACAGCACTAGTATTTAATTACAGGACTTTCAATATCAGATAGGATTGTTTACTCACCTGGAAGCTCTTCTCATTAATCTCTGTAATGGGACTGCATGACACCACATACTCTGAGGTGTGTGGTACAGGCTGCCACATGATTGTGGTCTGGGTCTGAGCTTCCTGGGGCAGGTTTGTCTCATTGTAAAGACCACTGAAGGGGAAGCCAGGTTCAGGTCCCTCGCTCACCTGCACCACTGGCACTCTCTGGCCATCTGCTCCTGGCAGGGGGATGTATACCAGGGGCTCGCGGTGGCTAGGGGGATGAGGCTGCTGGCCGTTATTGCCCAGGTTGTAGCTCTGATATTCAGTGTAGATGTGTTGGCCCTGCTGCCCCGGTGTGTTGTGTCTGTTTGGCCCCAGCATATGCACATGGTTGTTGAAGTGGTCGTTGTCCTCTGGCACATCCAGGATGTCATGGCTGGGCCGGCTGGGGTCGGGGAGCTGCGGGGGCAGCTGGTGACTTTCCAGTTCTAGCAGGAAAATTGTGTTGGGGCAAGCAACTGAGCAAAATAATGCAATAGCATATGTTGCCAGCACAGGGCAATGTACAGCGCATTTAATTAATTGTGCTTTGCTTAGACTAGCCTTGCATTTATTTCTTTTGAATTAAAATCTTTTAAAAAAGGAGCAGCACATATCATATAACATCACATCACATAGCAAGGCTGGTAATATGTACTATATGTATTAATAGCTTTATTAAATATCATCATAAAATGTATTATAATAACAGTTTGAGTGCAAATAGTACCACCAAACTACTTAAAATATTCATTTCAACATGTAGATGTGGAAGTACACTACAGTTCCAAAGTTTGGGGGTAAAAATAAATTACTACTTTTATTTGGCAAGGACGCATTAAATTGATCAAATGTATCACAACATATAATGTTATGAAAGATTTCAAACAAAGGCTGTTCTTTTGAAAGATTCAAAGAATCCTTAAATAAACCTCTCACTATTTCCACCAAAATAATGAGCAGCACAACGGTTTTCAACACTGATAATAAGAAATGTTTCTTGAGCAGCAACTCTGCATATTAGAATGATTTCTGAAGGATCATGTGGCAACGAAGACTGAAGTGATGATGCTGAAATTTCAGATTTGGCATCACAGGAATAAAATATTTTCTAAAATATAATTTAAAATGGTAAAATTTCACAATATGACCATTTCTCATTTATTTTTGATCAAATAAAAGCAGCCTTGGTGAGTATTAGAGACTTATTTTAATAACATTAAAAAAATCTTACTGACCCCAAACACATAAAGAGTAGTGTAAAAGAAAAGTTAACAAAAGTACTTACGAGTTTTTGCCTTTCCAATCAGTGGAATGCTTCTCTGAGCGTTATTTAATGCCACGATCTTGATAACATATTCAGTATCTTGTTTCAAACCTGCAAGTATAGACCACAAAAAGGTTCATAAAAAACTAAGTATAAATAATGGGAGACAAAAAGGTATAACATTATGAAAGTCATAAACTGGGAAAGAGCAGTACCAGAGATGAAAGCGAAGGTCCTGCCAGCCTGAGGTCGAGGGGTCAACTCTTTAGGAATGTCTCCAGCCTCTTCATAGGTCACGTAGTATCCTGTGATAGAGCTTCGTGGAGGCTCCCAGGTAAAGGAGATTGAAGTAGGAGTCAGAGAGGTGAAATGGAGGTTTGTGGGTGGGCTGATAACTGGTTTCGCTGAAAAAATTATTAAATAATTTAAATATAAATAACCCTGTTATGTTATGTTATGTTATGTTATGTTATGTTGTACCTGTAGTAGCTGTAAGGGTGAAAGGCTCACTACGTGCACTTCCATTCAGAGTATAGATATTGATCTTATAAGTGGTTCCTGGCTCCAGACCTATAGAACGTAGAATCATATGATCGAAACAATCACAGTTTCAAAAGAAATATTTACCAAGCATATGTCACACCCTGTAATATGAGCTACATCGGTGTTGTGTTGTACCAGTAATGGTGTAGGTGCGTGAATCAGGTTCAATGGTTCTCTGGATAGGGTTATGGCCGCCCATGGTGGGTGTGGCTTCTACCAGGAAGCCAGAGATGGACTCAGTCTTAGAGCGCCAGGTGAGAGTGATGGAGGAGTCCTTCACATTGGATATACGGACACGTCGAGGTGGACTGATGTCTGGGAAAATGAGATCTAGATTGAGTTTTGGCCAGAACACAGCAAATTGGTGGAGAATGCAAGTGTAAATTCAGAGACGTTTTAGGGAAGGTGGCTTACTGTCAGGTGTTGTGACTTCTCCCTTGACACGACGGCTGGTCAGAGAGTTCTTCACACCGTAAACCTCCACTTCATAATCAGTGCCAGGCTATAAACACACAAAGCCTTGAAAATGTGCTTCACAAAATACCATATAATTTTCTGAAACAATCTGGTACAGGCTTTAATCTTTGATCTACCCACTGACCAAAATGACAAGGTTGATGTACAATATGAGCTTTGCCTGATGGAGATTAGCATTGCTCTCTGACTACCAGTAACCCACAATCACAACTAAAATCAAGAAATAAATGCCTCAAAACCAGAGGAACAGCTGTTTCGATAGAGATTTTTCCATGAAACCACTCAGTGCTGTTTTTAAGGACTTTTTGGCATGAAAAGCATGAAAGCATAGCATGTAACGTAGAACATAAGTAGTTTGTTCCACATTATGTCTAATATCAGTAAGGTTAACGTTTTGAGAGAATGAACTTCTGCAAGTGTGAGATTTATTCACCATGAGTCCAGTGGCGTGGAACTCAGTCGAGTCAGGGGAGATGTTGTCCTCTTTAGTGGGTCCATTCTTGCTCTTGGGGGTGATGGCCACGCGGTAACCGGTTAGCCTGACGTCAGAAGAAGACCAGGAGACAGTGAAGGATGTTGGACCCACTTGGGAGAAGTGCAGACTTGTGGGCCCAGGAATAGCTACAGGGGGAAAAGAGAACATTAAAGAAACATTAAGTATATTACCAGATTTTAACATGTTCTAAAGAACATGAGACTCACTACCACAATACTGGGATGCTGTAATGGTTGCCAGGATATTGTTTTTGGTGTTTAGTATGTTGCTGTGTTCTGGGTGATTGCTAGGTGGCTACTAAAGTTCAGTTACTTTAAATTACAGTAAAAATACGGTAAACAGTAATATTGTGAATAATAGTATATACAATAATAAACACTACATTTTTTTTACAAGTTGCTTGGAAAAATAAAAGCACACTTCTCATTAATTTAATGATTTTAGGTTTCATTCAGTGCAGAACTTATGCATCAAAGTTTTATAGCGAGGACTGAGTAAATAACAAACAGCATTTATAATTAATTTATGTTTTTTATATAATAAATTAAAATAGTATAATATTAAATCATTATAGTTAGAAAAACTGCATTTTGGTAGATCTGATCTTAAATAGTAGAAGAGCAGCTGTTTAAAGTAATACCTGTTGTCTGAGTGCCCACCAGTGGAGTGCTGGGGGTCCGGTCATGCAGTGCGATGACTTTAACAGTGTATTCTGTGCCCGGTCTGAGGCCATGCAGCACTGCAGACTCATCATCTCCACGTGGGGCAGGGAACAGCTCTCTCTCCCCCTCCTCTGGACTGTAGTACAACACTCTGTAAGAGGAGACCACTCCATCAGGACTCTCCCAGGAGATACGCATGGATGTTGAGTCCACGTCAGTGAAGGACAGATCTTTGGGTTTATCCACCGCTAGAGAAAGAAATATTTGAAACTATGAATGAATCGGTTTCAATTAAACCTGATGTCATTACATCTGCAATATTTTAGAATATTTACAAATGGATGAATTAACAGTGATACTTTCATACGTCTTTAACACCCCTTGTGAAAAAGTAAACTTAACTGTATTGAATGTACTCTTACAGTAGTATATTAAAAGTACATTTTATAAAACTGTACTTGCAAATTAATAATGATATTAATGAAATAAAAGGCCACTTAAGTGAACTTACACTTTTATGACTTAACACACTTAAGTACACATTTAAAATGCACACTTTGTGATAATGTCAAATAAAAAATTTTAAGTACATTTTAAATCATTGTTTATGCATTAAAGAAGTACTTTTTTGATGTGTTGACATTAAAGCACATGTAAAGTACTTGATTATTATTTTAACTGTAATATGTTATTTGATATTACATTTAAAATTGTGTGGGTCTAAAAGCATTCTAATGTTCAGCTAATTGCATTTACTATAAATCGAATCTATGACATTTTTTTTATTAATTGCATTTAACATGCTAAAATGTTTACTTAAAGTACATTATTTCCGTAATAAGTACTCTTTTTTTTAAAATATGCTAAAGTGTACTTCTGTTTTACAAGGGATCCAATCACTTTTACAAACTATATGAGACTGTGAAGCAAAAAAACTCTTTCTCTAAGTTTGTGCACCTACTTGTGACTACAGTTTCGACCAGAGGGGGGCTCTCTCCATCCTGTCCCAAAGCATACACACTGACAGTGTACTCCGCTGTCGGCATCAGGCCATAGAACGTCATTTCAGTCTGGTCTGCAATTACATGTGAAAAACACACCTATGCAACTCTCACTTTGACAGCATTACCTCCTTCATTTCAAAAGTAGGTACAACACAATATTTTTATTGAGAGTGATATACATTACCTGGAGCGACCACTTCAGAGAAAGCAGGACCCTGTCCATTTAGCGGAGTTCCTGTGACACGATATCCTGAGATGGGGCCCACTGCTGGGTTCCAGCGCACAGTAATAGTGTTGTCCTTCACGTCAGTCACCTCCATCTTTGATGGAGACTCAATATCTATGTTTAAAGAAACAAAGTCCATTATTTATACATTTTTGCTCTCAACTGAGTGATATACTGTAATTTTACACCATCCTGTCTTCCTAAATCCGTAAAAAGTCTGTCAAACCACCCAACAAAGACCTGCCAGACATTCTCAGATGCCTCGATTTACCTGTTCTGTGCATAACATGAATGGGGGTGCTGGACGCAGGGCTGTCCCCTCTGCCGGTCACAGCGTAAACAGTAATGGTGTAATCGGTGCCTGGACGTAGGCCTTCAATAGTGGCAGTAGACTGGGAGCCGGGGACAGAAAATTCCTGAGGAGCGTCAAAACCTCCTGGATGCGAAAGATCAGAACAATTTAGTCAATGTCAAACAAACCATGATAAAAGGACCATCAATTCACACAGAGACGAATATTCAATGAATATACAGCTGGAATATAAAATAATAAAGCCGGCCCACCAACAGAATTTACCATTTTGGTCACATGACCAGAGCAGCTGCTGTTACATAAAAATAGTTATACCAAACATACATAATATTAATTTAAAATATGTATTTGACACATAATTACCTTAAAGATTATTGTGAATACATGTAAGGTAAGAGCAAATGCATGGTTTATAAGTTAGTTGAGCCAGTAGGATTGCTTGGGGTCTTAATGGAGACCCGATTTTGACTCTGTTTTTCTGTTTTTTGACTCAAGTCTCCGTTTTTTGATAAACTTCATAGTAAATACAAAAACCTGAACAACTCTTAGAAAACATTTAAATACTGTTTGACTTCCTTTCTTTGTGACTAGTGGATGTCAGAGACGTAAACTTGCGTAGTATTTGTGTCTCGGAGTAACCAGGGCAATTTCTGCTTTTCTAAAAGAACCATCTACTGTCAGATAGTCAATCTACATTTACTTTCAGTCCATCTGCTGGTTTTTTACACATTGTTTTGAAAAGACACATTGTATGTGAAAATCAGACCAAATTTTCAATTTTTTTGAACAGGCCTTAAAGGGTTAGTTCACCCAAAAATTAGGCTGTGTTTTACTCACCCCCGAGGCCTCCTGGGTGTAAATGACTTTCTTCTTTCAGACGAATCCAGTCGGAGTTATATAAAAAAATTGTCCTAGCTATTCCAAGCTCTATCATTGCAGTCAGCGGGTGTTGCAGTGCTTCAGTCCAAAAGAAGTTAAATAAAAAGTGCCCTTCCAAAAAAAAGTGTCTCACACGGCTCCGGTGGGTGAACAAAGGCCTCCTGTAGCGAATTGATGCATTTTTGTAAGAAAAATATCCACACAACAGTTGTACATGGAAGCAGCTTTGTACTTCTAATTAGTGACCATTGTTTTGTTTTGATCTCTCCCCTGCGCTTCCGTGTTCGTCACTTCTGAGAGGCGCATGCGCAAAGCCGACCTCATACGTCATCCGCTCGGAGCTGCTTCCGTGTTCAACAGTGAGTGCAAGCTAGATTAAATTGATTATTATATTTTAAATATGGTTATTTTTCTTACAAAAATGCATCGATTCGCTACAGGAGGCCTTTGTTCACCCCCCGGAGCCGTGTGAGACACTTTTTTTTGGAAGGGCACTTTTTATTTAACTTCTTTTGGACTGATGCATGCAACACCCGCTGAGTGGCATTAAACAGCTTGAAAGATCAAAGACAATTTTTAATATAACTCCGACTGGATTCGTCTGAAAGAAGAAAGTCATATACACCTAGGATGCCTCGGGGGTGAGTAAAACACAGCCTAATTTTCATTTTTGGGTGAACTAACCCTTTAAGTGACACAAACTTGTCAACACCATTTCGATATGATTCAATCACCTACCCAACTCTCCATGTGTGATCCTGTAGTACCTCACAGTGACAGAGGGGGCGTCCCAGCGAACGGTGATGCTGGTTGGCGTTGAGGATATAACTTCCAGGTCAGTGGGGGCATCAGAGACTAACAGAGAAAAAGTAATGAGAGACAATTAGTACTAATTCGATCTAAAGTGATCTGCAATGAGAAGTCAAAAGGCAGGAAGTAACAGCATACTGGTAGACTGAGTTCCAGTTAGAGGCAGACTCTCGCGGGATCCGCTGACGGCATAGACACTGATGCTGTATTCGGTCTCCGGGGTCAGGCCTGTGAGGGTGAAATGGCTCCTTGATGGGGGCAGTCTCTCCTCTTTAGCACGTCCACCACTGGTCATTTGGTAGCGGATACGGTATCCTGAGATAATGGCCTGAGGAGCCTGCCAGCGTACGGTGAAGGAGTTGGTGCCAACATCAGAGAACTGCAGGCCGACAGGTGCATCGAGGACTGTGAAGTAAAAGGATGCAGCCAATGAAACAGATCTTAACACAAATCTTAATATTTCTACAGTTTTAGCCAACAAACTCACCTGTTCTCTGAGTGCCAATGGCAGGTGAGCTCTCTCTCTCTTCATAGACACAAATCACACTCACCAGGTACTCCGTGTTGGGCACAAGATCTAAAATCACACGGAGACACTCATTACTAAGGTGTGTTCAATACAGAAACTAAAGACAGAACTGCACAAACAAATAAGGGTCAATTCTTCCATAAGTCACTTACGGCGAAGAACAACGTAGTTTGTGTTTCCATCCACAGTGCGCTCAATGGTGTCATCGTCGTCATCGACTGGATGATAGCGGATGATGTAGCGGTCGATATCAGAGGATTTGGGCACCTGAGGAACATTCCAGGTCACCAGCATAGTGTCTGCGGTCACTTCTCCAAATGACAGGCCAGATGGGGCAGGGACAGCTAAAAGTGACATGAATAAAGTGAATAACTTTTTATTTCCAGTCAAAAGCTGCTTTTTTGATGAAAGATTTCTCTGTATAATATATTTCATTATGTTATTACAGATGTTTTACCAGTGTAAAATTCAGCTTTGCCATCATAGGAATACATTACATTTCAAAACAGATTAAAATAGAAAACCATTATTTTAAATTGTTGAGGACTTCTTAAGAGGAAAAAAAGGTTTGTAGTCAAAGACAGTCTGTCCAGATTTACTGGTAACACTATTTTAAGGACAAATTCCCACTACTAACTAGTTGCTTATTAGCATGCATATTACTAGCATACTGGCTGTTTATTAGAACTTATAAAGCACGTATTAATGACTTATTCTGCATCACCATATTTTAAATATCTTAATCCACCCTATACATAAACTTAACAACTACCTTACTAACTATTAATATGCAGCAAATTGGCAGTTTATTGCGGGAAAACTCTTAATAGTAAACATGTGTTCCCTATTCTAAATTGTTATCGATTTACTTGTCTCTAATGTCTTGGAAACCTTGTTTAGCAATTTTGTCCCAACAAGTACAGTTATATACACACACACACACAAACTCTTACCTGTTTGCTGGGTGATGGTGATGGGTTCGCTCTCTCCGTTTTCTGTGACTGTGGTGACGGTTATGTCATAATCAATACCAGGCTCCAGACCGTGCACAGTATAAAAGCCTGTGGTGGGCTCCACAAATTCAACAAAGATTGGGACACTGTCCCCAGCAGCCAACACCGTAATGCGGTAGCCGGTAACGGCGGTGGAGTTAAGAGGACTCCAGCTGAGGCCGATAGTGGAGTCAGTGATGTTGATGAAGCTAAGGTCAGTTATTTTGGGCACATCTGGAGGAGAGAAGGTACCAGAGGCCCGACACAGACATAGACACAACACAGAAAGACAGAGATAAGTCATCTGACTGGAAAACAGATCCTTGGTTCATATTGTGAATACTGAACCATGGAGATGAGTGTTAGGAATTTGTGATATGAGAATAGTATCACAAATTCATATATGCCATTTTTTCATAAACTGACCAAAAATGTGAAATGAAATTGAGCTCTTATGTTCTTTTTGCCAAAATCAACTGACTAGGATTAATGCTGACAACAGAAACATATGCTTTAATGAAAATTGCTCTTAAAGCAATGTGTATTCAGTAATCTCTCTGTTCTATGTATTTAATGTCTCAATAGACATTAAAAGCAAGTACTGCACTGATTACAATCCACATGCTTTCCCAGTTTATGCATAGTTACTGACAAAAAAAATTATTGAGGTGAGGGGTGATTTGTGTTTCAAAAAGCTCTAATACCTACCCGGAGTCACAGTGGTGGAGACAGGAACACTCTCCATGTCATCCTTCACAGTAAACACGCTGATATTGTACTCCACTCCTGGACTCAGATTCTCTAGCGTGCATGAGTTCTGTCCTGCCTTCACAAACTCCTCTATAGAGTTCCCTTGTTGCCCTTTGGTGGGAGTGCAGGTCACTCTGTAACCCGTGATGTCTGTGGGAACAGAACAAGGGTTACCAAGGGAAGACCAAGCAGTACATTTGCGTAGTGAACAAATGAGCTCATTTGAGAAAGGACAGAACATACTTCCATTACAAAGTGTTCCTGCATTTTTTTTTTTAGACCAAATGAATTTACATGACTTTTCAGTGATCTTTCTAGTTGTTTGTATGCAATTACTGGAACATTGGGATTAATGTATTTGGAACATTATGAACTGGTTTGAGCGATTTTATTGAAAAATCAACTCAAGAGAATGATTCACTCAATCAATTTCTTGTTGATGAATTAAAAAACTAGAAATTAAGTGTAACTAGAAAATATGTATATTCACTGTAGAAATTTCCATTACTTTTATTCATTCATTACTATTATATATATATAATAAATATATATTATATATTATTTATGATAATAATAAGGGTTAGGGTTATATACACACTACCGTTCAAAAGTTTGGGATCAGTAAGAGTTTTGAAAATAAGTCTTTTGTTCTCACAAAAGCGGCATTTATTTCACAGTAAAAACATTAATATTGTGAAATATTATTACAATTTAAAATAACTGATTTCTATTTGAATATATTTTAATCTGTAATTTATTCATGTGATTGCACAGCTGAATTCTCAGCATCATTGCTCCAGTCTTCAGTCTCACATGATCCTTCAGAAATCATTCTAATATGCTGATTTTCTGCTCAAGAAACATTTCTCAATATTATCAATGCTGAAAACGATTGTGCTGCTTAATATATTTGTGGAAATTGTTATACAGATTTTAGGATTCTTTGATGAATACAAAGTTCAAAAGATCAGCATTTATTTAAAATATAATAATATTTAGTACATAGTAATATTATAAATGTCTTTACTGTCACTTTTGATCCATTTAATGTATTCATGCTAAATAAAATATACATTTTCAGAAAAACAGAAGTGTATATTTGTGTTTGAAGTTTAACAAGCACATATAAAACAGAACTTGTTCTATTATGAGGAATATCTCGGTACTAACCTGGGATTTTAGCATCGTTCCATTGAACGGTCAGCTCTCCAGTGTTCGGGTTGGACTCCAGGTTCAGATCCGTGGGTGGAGACAGAGCTGTAGACAGAGAGACAGACAGTCATAAGACAGCTGCACAACTCCACCAACAGTGTGAGAAACTTCTCTCTCACACTCCCACATCTTCAATGAGCTCAATATAATAAGGACAGAGAAATGCCATTTCTTCACACTTACGAGTAACCACGCGTCGAGTGATGGGGTTACCATGCTCAAGACCGTCGAAGACCGGCTGGACGCTGTAGGTGTACTCAACTCCAGGAGTTAGACCTGAGATGAGGACACTACCAGACTCTGAGATCATGTCCTTTGGAGCTTCTCCACCTTGGCTGGGCCTCACAGTCAACTGCAGAGCAAAATTAGAGATTAAGCACTGTGAGTGGTCATGACTGAAATGTGTGTAAATGTGAGAGAGAGAATGTCAAAAGTCAGTTTCTCAAGAGTACTTTCACATGTGTCTCACACCGGCCATTAAACCAAAGAGTGATCGCCTACAGCTGTGCTCTGGTATGTTTCAATAGTACCTTGTATCCAATTTTAGGCGCAGGGGTCCAGAAGACAATGATGGAGGTGTCTGTGACATCAGTGCTGAAGGAAGGAGCATTTCTCATGGGTTGAACTGAAAGACAGAAAATACAGGACTATTGCTTTAGCACTCTATATTATATGATTTGCTTAGAGCAAGCAAATATATTTTGAACTTTTCTTTTTTTTTTTTACAAAAGAAACTCACATGTGGTGAAGATGGCGAGGGATCCCTCACTAAGCACAGTGCCTCTTTCTGCATGCAGAGTGGCAGTGTATTCAGTATCAGGCTGCAAGTTGAGGAGTGTGTACTGAGACAGGCGGGCAGGAATACGCAGCTGTTTGGGGTTTGAGCCCTCGACAGTCAGGAAAAGTCTGTAACCTGTGATTTGAGCCTTAGGAGCTGACCAGATGATTACAGCACTGTCTTCAGTAACGTTTGCGAAATGAATATCGGTGGGTGGGTCGGGCTCTGTGAAGAGAAAGATGTACAGGGTTAGTATGCATCACACTGCCAAAAATAATAGAAACAGTTAGGCAAGATGTTTAGTATTGTGAAATTATCAATCTGATTATGTTATATTGTTATGTTATACGCTATGTATCATTTTTTGTAAATATATTATGCAAAGTTGATTTAGAAGCCTAGTTTTTTGCAGTATAGAGATAATCTTTGGTCATTTTCTCACTTGTAGCTTGCTCTCCAACCAGCGGCTCACTCTCTTCTCCTGATTTGAGAGTAAAGATGAAGAACCGGTAGAGGGTTCCAGGCTGGAGGTGTGTGATCTCAGCATAAGCGTTCTGTGTCACTGGGAAGGGGAGTTCCCTCTCGACCAACCCATCTGGAGCAACCTCGCCCACAGACACACGGTACCCTGACACCACTGTGGATGGTCCGGTCCAAGTGATTGTGATCTTAGAGTCAGACACTTCAAAGAACTGCAGATCAGTTGGAGAGGGAACTTCCTCTGTGAGTAGAACAATTTTTATTTTTTTTTCAGACTACATGGATAAAGTTTCATGCTATCATAACACTTGCTCCTCAACAAAACCTTTTTCTACCTCTTGAGTCATAAAACCTGATTCTGACCTTCCTTTGAAGGGCTTAACTTTAACTAGTCTGTGAGATTCTTACCACAGACATGAGGACCACCACAGTCTCAGACTTATAAATCTTTAAATTCAGCAGACAAACTGTTTATACAATCACAACAGTTTAAAACCCCCAGCAACTTTTCTGAAGTGGTAAATATCTATTATTTGCCCAACAAATTTCCCAACACTGTATTTAAAATGTATTATTCTTCAAGTGTCTTGCAGTCTCATAAGGCAATATCCCTAAATTGCTTCTGATTTCAATCTGGCCCTCATTTTTCCCAATTACAGCCATGAGGGTAGTCTGTACAAAGCACTTGAAGTTCACTTAATCTGCATTATGTTCCGCCAGCCTGCACCAGCTTCACCCCCACTGTACCCAGCCTTCTCACAGCTGGCCGCCATTACTGAGAGATATCGCTCTGGGGTTGCTTCCACCCACTGAGCAAAGGGATCACTTCTGACCCCAACAAGCTCTTACAAAAAGGAAAAACTTTATTCATGCAGATCCACGTCGGATCTCGTAGTGGAGATTTGTGGTTCTGTATAAATACAAGTAATTCACAAATTCACAAAAAAAAGACTTGGATTAAAAAAAACAACACACTGTAGTTGTCATTAGGGATGGGCGATAGGACCAAAATTGTATGGAATTTTCTATCACAGTAGCAGTAGAAAATATTTTTTTAATATTTTTATTTTTAGTTTATATCAGATTGTATAACTAATGTTCAAAATAGTATAGTCAGAAAGATTGTTCAATGATCAAAAGAGACAGTAAATATACTTATGATGTTACAAAAAAAAGTTTATATTAATATTTCAAATAAACACTCTTCTTTTAAACTTTTTATTCATCAAAGAATCCAGAAAAAAATGCTTTATGGTTTCCACAAAAACAATAACCAGCAAAACATTGATACTAATAAGAAATGATTCTTCAGCACAAAATCAGATATTAGAATGATTTCTAAAGGATCATGTGACACTGAAGACTGGAGTAATGGCTGCTTTGTAATCAGCTTTGCCATCACAGGAATAAATTACATTTTAAAATATATTCAAATAGAAAATAGTTATTTAAAATTGTAATAATATTGTAAAATATTACTGTTTTTATTTTTAAAATAAATTCAGCCTGTAAAATATCATGTAATTTTCCAACATTCTAGTGACTTAAATTCTTCAAAAAAAATTAAGTGTCTCACAGGAAAAAACAAACCAACAAATAACACCGTACAGAAACAACTTTACATAATGTCACAATAGGACTTAAAACAATAACATATTATAAATAGAACTTGATGAGCCAATATTTCAAGTCATTAATAAATAAACACCAGGCTTAGCATGGTGCAACACATCAAAATGAAACCACTCCTATTATAATCAACAAAGCAGTCTACATTGGAAAACTATGCTATAGTTTTCCATTTAATCTTGGATTTTTTTTTTTAAGTAGTAGAACCTCCACCAATTGACATATCTACCATCATACTGTCCAGCCCTACTTGTCAGTTTTCCTCTACAAAAGTTTGGAGGCTTGAGGCAACCATTAACAGTGGAAACTACATAATCACTAAATGACTTTACAGATGCTGTCCAAGCAGAAAAAGTAACAAGTTTGGTTGAATTTCAAACATATTCCTAGCACAGGACGAAAGAAACTCAAAGACAAACAAACAGTGCCAAAAGGGCCGTAGGGGGTGATTGAGACAGCTGTGTTGATTGGGTGTGCTTTTCTCCATCCACAGAACTTCAAAAGAACAGACGGCAAACACAAGGCATGGGCCCACCCAAATCAAGGTGTGGATGAGTGCATCTTAAAACCAACATCCTTGATTTCAAACGCTCCTAGAGGACGAGCATTTGTTGAAAGTTGTAAAAGAAAAGATCACAAGGAAGAGCAAACCCTAATCGCCACTCCAACAAAACACCTGGGAGAAACGGCAAACGGCACTCTTGCTCTCAGTTAACATCTGGAAGCCTTTGACTTCCAAACCTCTCCCCACCCATGCCCACAAGACTACTTATAGCAGTACACAGCGTGACCCACATACTCTGTGTGTGTGTGTGTGTGTGTGTGTGTGTCTGTGTGTGCACGAGAGAGGGAACATGTGCCCCATAAAAGATGCTGTTTACTCACTAGCGAAAGACTGCTGAGGCTCGCAGCTCAACTCTCCAATGCCATTTCCATAGCAGTAACATCTGTAGTGGATTCCCTGAATGGGTTTGTCCCAGGACTCTCCAATCTGATAGAACACTCTAGTCTCTGGCTCCTGGCACTGATCTCTGGTTTCAATCTATGTCAGATCACTGAATCTCACCACTATCAATAAACTCCCCAGGATTTGCTTGGCTGTAACTGGCACCCTGGTGATAGAGAAACCCATCAAAGCTCAGTCAGAAGGAGGTGTTTATGTAAATATGGCTGAATATGTGCCGAGTGATCTTCTTTTTTTTTTTCACATATAGTTAACATCCTCATCTTAACTATTATCAGATCTCCTCCCATACAGAGCACTGCAAAAAATGCTTTTCTAGCTTAGATCATTTCTCGTTTCCAGCCAAAATATCTAAAAATTCTTAAATCAAGAAGGATTTTCTAGACAAGTAAAAATTGTCTTGTTTTCAGAAAAAACAAGTCGAATTGAAGTGAGTTTTTGCTTGAATAATAATAGCAAAATAATCTGCCAATGGGGTAAGAAAAATAATCTTGTTTTCTGTTTGAAATAACTTAAATTCGACTTGTTTTTTTTTCTGAAAACAAGACTTTTTACTTGTCTAGAAAATTATTCTTGATTTAAGAATTTATAGATATTTTGGCTGGAAACAAGACAAAAGATCTAAGCTAGAAAAGCATTTTTTGCAGTGAGCACAAGCTGATTGAAAAAGCTGTGAGACGCATGTAATGACACTTAATTTATCTATTCAGTCTTTTTGCTAATATGCACAAAGTAAGGAAAAGAATGGGGCCTGGAATGTGATGTTTAAGATAAAATGATGTGCTCAAGGCACGTTATTAAGATCCAGGACCGTTAGAGGGCTAAAGTGCTTTCATTACATTAGAATTCTCCATCTTCCTATGTTCCAAGCTCCTGTCAAGTCCTAACATGTTACCCTCTCTTTCTCTCTGGCTCCAACATTTATTGCTAGTGTAAAACTGGCACTTACCTGCCATGGGACAGAAGCCAAACCGCTGCTCTCGGTCATTGTTATAAGTTGTGCCGCACCATTTCATGCCATCTCTCCTGCCGTCAGCAGTGCAGTCAGTGTAGTTACGGCCATTGTAAAGGTATGGGAAGTGACAGAGTGCACCATTGGAATTTCCCCCTCTGGTTGTGACCATAACTAAAAATGAAGATATTTACCAATGAAAAGCAGTAGCAGTTTCAAGGAAAAGTTTCAACTTCCAATAAATTTATGACAGGAACAGTCACCAAAGGGTTTGGAGTTAAGTGCCTTGCTCAAGAGTATAACTGTGATGAGTACATTAATACTTTATTCAGAATGCATTAAAGTGACCAAAAGTGACAGCAAAAGCACTTATAATGTTGCGAAAATGTGGATTTTAAATGCTGTTCTTTTAAACTTTCTTTTCAACAAAGAATCCTGAAAATTATTAAACTGTTTTCAACACTGAAAAGTATAAGAAATGTTTCTTGAAAACAAAATCAGCACATTATAATGCTTTTTGAAGGATCATGAGACTGAAGACTGGAGTAATAATGCTGAAAACTCAGTTTTGCCAGAACAGGATTTTTTTATTTAACTGATTTTGCTGTATTTTTGATCAAATAAAAACCGTTTTGGTGAGCATAAGAGACTTCAGAAACATTAAAAAGTTTTACTGACCACAAACTTTTTCAGGAATGTATATAAACTTACCATTATTGCTGGTACAGAAGGAGTACTTGTAGTCTTTCTCAAAGTCGGATGAGGTGCTGCACCAGAGCTGCCCATCACTGCGTCCCTCAGACGTGCAGGAATAGAACGTTTTCCCCATGAACACAAAAGGAAACGCACATGGCTGGCCACCTGAGCTCCCACCATACACCTGGAACTGGTTCTCTGCGCACACACACACACACACAGACACAAGCACAAGCACAGCATTCAATCTAAATGAACACTGATCATTTTATCAACAATGACATAAACGTGATAAATCGAGACACGAACCTGGCTCTTCACAGCTGACACCGTTCCCCAAGCAGGTACACAACATCTGTTTGCTGCCCTGGGTCTTGATCCAGCGCATGCCCAGGGTGTAGGAAACACCTGCGTCTGTCAGACAGGATCCCTCAGTGGGGTGTTCAGGCACCGCCTGTGGCTGGTACACTGCAGGCTGGACATTGGTCACCACACGAGACCCAGTACCTAGTGCACAAAATAACACATGAGGATACATATTTTGCCTCAACCAGTCTGCCAGGGCCCACTAGGGGGCCTCTAAAAACATCCAGGCACACCCCAAATAGTCTTAAAATGATTAAAATTGATTTATATCAAGATCATTTTAGCTAAAAATAAAGATATACAGTTCTCAAATGAAATAGATTGGACATCATGATATTCAGTCATGAGACGTTGACGCTAACCTGAGCCACTCATATTCTGTTAATGGGAAGATCATCAGTTAATAATGATTTCTGCCTCTTGCACAAAGCAATTGTATTATTTCAAAAGCCTTGTTATAGAGGGCACTGTTCACATTAATACAGACTTGTTTTTAGTGGGGGGGTTGGCGCTTGACAGATGTGGTCACTATGAACTGTCACATGAAAATTGGCTGTGTGATAATTCTCCAAAAATACAGCAAGGGCTTGGAAATACATGAGAGTAAGCAAATAATGACAGAATTTTTTATCTTTAGGTCAGTGATACTTTTGTATTTCAATTATGACAACTCTCGGAACATTTTAGCATGGTGATGGATATGACAATGTTAATGTATTTGGTCTTGGCGGAACAGATCTGCTACGCTGCTGCTCAATTGCTGCTGCTATTGGTTATTGCTGTAGTTGTAGATTATTGCTGCTGCTGCAAGCAAGTACAGGAACTTGCTACTGCCAATGCATATGGCAATACGGTTCCGTGAGTATTTAAGACATACTGATGCTGCACAAATATCATTTACAGTATATCTATATATTTATATAAATATCAAAATAACCCCGTAGCAGATCTATACAGGTGGAGCTGTGGAAGGTGAAGGGTTTCAGAGAACTCCAAAAGTACGCTGCAGGAATCTCAAGTGAATGCCAGCCAGCCATATAAATGCAAGGCCGTAAGCTCATTGGCTGCATATGCAGCATGAACCAATCAGCTTGTGCCTAGTCGTTTAACTCTCTGAATATCATCAGATACGTTAACACCCCGTTAGCCTGCGCCATCTAGAGTTTCATGACTGAACTATATATTTATATAATACTACAGTATTTTGAGTTAACCTTTACTTTTAATTTTAACTGAATATTTTTTTTTAATTTGCCAGTTTTTTTCATTTTAAGGTTTTCATCTAATATATATATTGTATTCACATTTATTTCAATTAACAAAAATGTGAGGTTCTTACCCAGGCTAGTGGTGTGCAGTGACGCATGTCTCTCGCATTTCCACTCTCCACGTCCATTTCCTGTACACAAACACTGTAGCACGTGCCCACGAGAATCCGTCTTGCTCCACGTGTCTCCAATCCGGTAAGAAGTGCTTGTGTCCTGGTCATTACAGCGATCTGTGATGCACACACAAACAAACAAAGAAGATGTTTCTCATCAGAATCATGTTGCGGTTAAGCTCCTCTAAATAAACAATTTTTGAAAAACACAGTAAGGTAAAACATTTTCCCTCTTCTAGCCAGTTAAAAAGTCCTTGCGCTGAAGCCAGAGGGTTTAACTGCACTTTGAGTGGATAAATGAAGTGAAATCCAGTTGGACAGATGGGAGATTGGGAAAGGGAGTTTTGTGCGCTTTGGACTGTTCCATTATTCTAAAAAGCATGGAGTTCTTACTTCTGGATGTGCATGTAATACGTCCACTTCCTTCTCCTAGGCAGGTGCAGTCCACGATCATCCAGCCTTGGTAGGGTTTCTCCCAGGTCTCACCAACCATGTAGGATGTGCCAGCTGCATTGTCATAACAGCGCTCCGCTATCAAGAAAAAGAAAAAAAAATGGTTTTAATAATATGATGATGTTAATACTATTACTTGTATGATGTATCTCAGTTCCTTTCCATCATGTCCAAAACCACTATATTTCATTTAAAGAGCTCATTAAATCGCTTGATGATTGCAGTTTCTTGCCTGTCACAACATATTTCGTATTGAAACAGGAAATTTGTGTGGGACATATTGGAGGGATCAACCCCATTAAAAACAAAATAGCTGATTGTTTGCGACAAAGCCATGAACCATGACTTGATACTAGCAGGTTACAGTTGGTATTAAGGGAAGGGACATTCTTATTCTAGAAAGCATTTGACTGGACAAAACTCTGTAGTGCATGATATAGTTTTGGTCCGTTTTAAATTGTGTATATTGGCTAAAAATTAAATTTCCTAATGTTTTGCTAAAGTATACTATCATAGCAAACACACAGACAAAAAGCCACAAAATTCCTGGTTCCTTAAATGCTCAAACTCACCAACAGGTTTGCAGGTCCACTCTCCTTTCCCATTTCCCAAACAGATGCACTCCAGCATGTAGTCTCCAGTGTCATGGGGTCTCCTCCATGTGTCTCCAATTTTGTAGGAGTGCCCTCCCTCATGACAGCGGTCTACAACAGAGGCCAAGTAGGTAAACAGCAGCACAACTCCAAAAAGCGTAATTTCCAAAGTGCCATTACGTAAAGTGAAGGAAAGTTCCAGTCTACCCACTCGCAATGGTGCAGCTGATTTTCCCTCGGCCAGAGCCAATGCAAGTACAGTCCCAGATCATCCCATCCTTGGGCCTCTCATAAGTCTCTCCAACCCGATAGGAGCGATCATTTACTTTATCATAGCAGGTTTCCTCAGCTGGGAACAGACATGGACTTTGTTCTTCATACTATTCAGAGTTAACACTTAACACAACAAACTTAAACTGGTCAAATGCAATATACGTTTACATGCATATAAATGGTTATTAATTTAACCAAGTTAGGAAATATTCATCCCAGTACTCCAAGGGACAAAACCAATGTAAGAGGACTCACCATCAGGCTTTGATTTACACTTTATAGCAGAAACTCCATGACAAGTGCAGAGCAGTGTGCTGCCCAGATAACTGCGCTCCCACTGCTCTCCAACTCCATAAAGCTGACCATTCTCAACACAGTCATCTGCAGAGGACACAACCGAACCCTTCTGAGCAATATTTTAGAACCCTTCTCTACATAAACCTCGATCACACAAAGAAGAAAAAGAGGATCCCTAATGTACATTTTCCAGCGTTTAATTAACAACCTGCGTGCGTAAAACCAAAAATACGCTACTAAATTTACCGTATCAAAGGATCAAAACAAAAACGAACACATGGACAATCGCATACCTTGGGACACGGATGACACCAAGTGTTCCTGAGCTTGTCTCCTATGTTTCCCCGTTCCTTTCGGCATACACTGCACAGTGCAGGCGAGCAAAGCCACTGCCAACGCCGTGCCCAACGGGCCACCGGTCATTTTTACAGGTGAGATGAAACACAAGTATACCGAGAGTTAAACCTTCCTTTCCTAGCAATGGAGGCTCGAGGAGACGCAGCAGTCCAGTGGCTGAGGGATTCAGATTCACCACAGCCTCTTCAAGTCTCCAGGTTCCCTCTCTGTGCGTTTCTCTCCCTGTGCGTCCTGCCCCTCCTGCTATTGCACGCACCTCTGTGGAGAGCTCAGACATGCGGAGCGCTTTTATTTGACCTCCACATTCCGCCCTGGAGGAGGATCTACCCCTGCACACGCGGAGGAGAGCCACACAGACAGACCCAATCTGAAGCTCGCTTTTTGCGATCAAAGTTTAGGCTAATAATTAATTCAAAGCTAACACTTGCAAACAACCACTGCCAGTGCAGTCACGTTTTGTTTCATAAATATTGTTGTGCCTCTAATCCAATACACCAGTGTTCAGTAATTACCCAAATCTGTCAGTTTAAGAAAGCCTGTGACTACTAATCTAATAGAGATCATGCTACATTTGGAGTGCAAAAAAATGTCCCATGTCCCATTAACAGATGGTTCTGGGCGCTGCATCCATCTGAAACCAATTATACAACTCTTAACTTTAATAACACTTCCCTGGTGGTAAAATAAAGTCATTCTCATTTTACTGCCACCCTTAGAAAGAAATAAAGATTGAAAGAGGACTCATAAGACAGATGTAAGTAGGAAATAAAAGACAAATAAATTGCTATGACTTTCTTGGCTTTAGCTTAGTTTAGTAGTCCTTCAAGCAAGCCAAGAGGCTGAAATTTGAATATGTTCTTCTAAAGGCAACCATCTGATACTCTCTAAAGTTTCAAGACCCTGGAACATCTCATGGACTACTTGTAGAATACCTGCAAATGCATATATAAAGGCCTAGTGCAGCCGCTTTGACCTTTTATAAATGTCTTTCCAGCAAGACTGAATCTTCGATATGTTGTCAGTAATATAGAAAAAAACATTAGGCTCATTATTTTATTTGTACTAAACTTTAAAAAAAAAAAAATGTTACACACTTTAAAAAAAATTGAGATTGTATCGTTAAATATGTTCCAAACGTGATAATAATGGTGTCAGTTAGCAGTGACCTTGCTGTGATTTAATATTTAAATTTTTTCCAGGTCAAAACTGTTGCTGAAATTAAGTTCATAGTCTCAGTTGCTGGCATGTGTTGTGTTTCTACTGTGAAACTGTTTTTTTTTCTGTTACAGCTTGATGGATCTACTTCTGTCTGTATGCCTTATCTTTAAGACTATCTTGCAGGTCATTCATGGAAATGTCAGCACCCTCTCATTTTAAAACTATACTCCTCTCTCTATATGAATGGAGGCTGCGGTACTGACAGAACTCCCATTTAAACATCATCAGACTAAAAAAAAACGCTTTCTGAGCTTTCTGTGTTTGTAATAATCATACCACCATGTAGTTCAATTCTTCATCTGATGAGAAGAGACAGATTGTCGCTTAACAGATGATTCAGTGATCTCCAGGCCAGATGTTTGGTTTGATTCATGCTTTATTCTACGTCTCCCCACTGCTCCCTCCGCAGTCGCTCTTTACCCTCCACCAAGATGAGTGTAATCTATGCTTATGAGCTGATATGCAAAATATCTCTCTTAATGGGCTTATAAAGACTTCTGTCCACAAAGTTTTAACGACATTTTACTCTTTAAACATCTCAGTTAATCCAGTTTTCTGCTTTGAATTCAGATGACGCTCTCAACACGTTGTTCTCGTGGTTTCTCAAAGCAGCCCATCTTGTAATCAATGAGGTGCATGGTCTGTGTGAATCAGTTTTGATTTTCCAAAAATGTGTCTGTTTATGAGCACATGTTGAGGTTGGTCTTCCTGTGCTCTGGTTTCTCTCTGAAACCACTGACAGTAGTGGGTGGCAAATGTTGTTCTTGTTTGGGGATTTTTGTGGAAAGTAGAGAGGTTTCAGAGATTGAGCCTAAAGCTGCTGCATCATGGAGGTGAACGCACTCCAAGAGTTCACAAGAGTGAATCCAGGAGATCTGACTCCTCTAACAAAGGTCTGGATATGCGAGCACATCTGGCTGCATTTGCGATGACTCAATGGTTGACTCAGTGTTTTTGTGCATAGCTGCATGACAATATTCCAGAAACAACCATAGTCCATGAAAATGCTGACAGTTGACAGATGTGTTCAGGAAGGTTAAGTTTTCAAATAAAACTAACCAGGAGTAGTGGATAGAGAGATAATGGTTCTGTTTCTAAGACACAGTAAACAAAACACAACTTTTTTTTAGTTTTTACAGATAAAAGTCATTTTAATGGAATTTTTTTTTTTAAACAAATCTACTATTATAATTTGATAATTAGATTAAAAGTGCATGTTACCTATATGGTCAAAAAGTTCACAACCATTCAAAAGTTTGGGTTCAGTAAGATTGTCATATTTTTTAAATAAGGCTTACACTCGCCATGACTGCATATATTTGATCAAAAATACAGTAAAATTGGTAATATTGTGAAATATTTTTACAATTTCAAATAAGTGTTTTCTATTTGAATATATTTTAGAATTATTAAAAGCTGAATTTTCAGCATCATTACTTCAGTCTACAGTGACGCATGACTCTTCAGAAATCATTCTGATATGCTGATGTGACTGTATTTTTGTGGAAACTGTGATACATTTTTCAGCATTATTGTATGATTACTTTAAGAGAACAGCATTTATTTGAAATAAAAATAAGTAACAATATAAAATGTCTATATCACTTTTGACGAATTTAATACAACCTTGCTGAATAAAAGTATTGCTGGAATTTCACTGTAGAATCATGTAAAAAATGCCCTTTTTGTAAGTAAATAAGCCCTCTTATTTATATTGACACACACTTGAAAAAATCATTCTATAAACATCACATTTGCTTGGTTTTTGTTTTTTTGCTTTTATATAAATATACACTGTATATATTTGTATATAAGTTGCACTAAATACAAATACATATAAAACAAAAACTGTGTCCGCCTTCATTTCAGGCTGCAAAGCAACAAAATATGATTATTTAAAAGGGGGTAATTCTTTTCTATAGCCACTGTTTGTGATCTATCATTATGGGGCCTTCTGTTTTATCACCTATATTGACAAACAGTTGAGGAGATCAGTCTTTGCCCAGTTTTTGCCACAAGTAGACAGATGAGGTATTTTCATACTTACTGCTCAAACAGTAAATAGCTGCCGTGTGTGATTTCCAAGATAGCCACCAAGCAAAATGATGTGCCTTAATGGGACAGGACTTTGATGATGAGTAGTCTAAGCCATTTTTAATCTCTACATCTCTGCTGCAGTATACGACATCATTCTCCCAGAGGAAAGGGGCGGGGTACAGCTGCAACCCCCATCAGTTTACCCAGACTGCACTAAACCCCTACAGCCCCCACTGAATCTACAAGATCACATCTAACTGCCGTTTTCTGCCTCCAAACACACTTTTTTCTAATGCCATCTGAAGTAGTTTTAGCTCTAGTAGGTACGTGTTGTGGCCCGAAGAGGGATGCACATGTATTATGTGCACTAAAATTAATGTTAGTTTTTTTTTAATTCTGAAATGTGTGCAGTTTTCTTCTAAATAAAAATGTTAATCGTAGTACAATGCTTGTGTGGTATAGTTATCATCTATGGATCTGTCAGAAGTGGCAATGGGCAAAGTAAGCCACAAATTTATCAAATTACTTGCCAGAGGAACTAGAGGGAGTTTCTAGTCGGTTAGAAGGGTGTTTGTTTATTTGAATAATTTGTCCATCATGCCAAAGCAGCTTCCGTTCTGATGTCATTGTTGTCTGTATGTCTCTGTGCACATGTAATTTTTGCAGTTAATTATAGAGCTGGCGAAAGGTCAGAGGGTAAAGAGCTCATCACGTCTCAGACACATATACTTTCTTTACTTTCATCACCATGACAACCCAGATGTGCGTTTAGTCAGTGATGTCTCAGAATTTCCTTTCCATAGTCTGAAACACTGCACGGAGGACGGAGATTACCCCAAGTTACAGCAAAACACACCGAGAACTTTAGTGACAGGAATGCTTACTAAGTTGTTGAGTCACAGAAGACATTTATTTATTTTTTTGTCATTTCAGAGGAAAACTGCTGCAGAAAAGAAAGTGGTTGGAGTTTGTGGGCGGATGTTCACATAGATTTTTTCCCCCAAAGCTTTGCTTTAAGGCAACACTGTTTTACAGCCCTGAGAACACAATCTGCTAGTGATTTATGATTTAGCTTTGGTCAGACTATTCCTTCATTAACCCTCATGTTCTGTTCAGATTGACCTCACTGTCTTATGCTATGTTCTTATATATATATATATATATATATATATATATACACACACACACACATATTTAGCTTTAACCCTTTGCTATATCACTAAATAATCATGCAATTGTAAGAAATGTGACTGTTATCCTGTATATGTCTATAAGATTGTTATATATGTCTGTTTGGGTACAGTTTGACCAAGCTTTTCAATTTTGCCACAATGTGTTGCGGTGGTCACCATAAAAACTTCATAATGTAGCAATTCAAAACCTCAAAAAAGTCAAACATCAAAATAAACAACTAGGATTGCAATGCTTACCGCACATCAATTAATTATAAATAATAAGAATTAAATATTAACTGTAAATAAAAAAAATGACTACTAATTAAATATGATATATTATTAGCACTAAAAAAGATTAGTAATACAAATTTATTACATTTATTTATTTTTATCAGGGAACTTTAAGGCCCTGTCCACACGAACGCGGTTATTTTTAAAACTGCAGCTTTTTCTACGTGATTTGGCCGTTCGTCCACACGTAAACGCAGCACCAGGTCACTGAAAACTAAAATTTTTGAAAACGCCTGCCAGGGTGAAGATTTTCAAAAACTCCGGTTGCAGTGTTATCGTGTAGACAGCGAAACCGGAGTTTTTGGCTTGTGACGTCGGCGCCTGCGCTGTTATCTCCACCTACTGGAAACTTTTTCAGGCTTCTGATTTGCCAACATGGCTTTACGGTTGAGATTATATCGCCACCTGTTGATTTGGCATGCTCTTGACAGTGCTTCATAGCATGCATTTGCATTTTCATGTGGACAGAGATTTTTTTTTAAACGGAAGAAGGAAAAGCTCCGTTTATAAAAATACCCGTGTA